CCCCTCCCTCTGATTTTATATAAATTTTTAAAGTCACATCACTTTTCCATTATTAATGGTGTTCTATTCCCCATAGCAATTTGTAAACTATCTTCATGATGAAAAACGCGGTTAAGTGCTTATGATCAAGCCAGATCATCATTTCTTTAATAATTAAAATTTTTTAATTCTTTTAACTTGTTCGGTGATAATTTCATTTTATTGCTGTCATATATCAATATCAAAGTCAGTGTTTACATTCTCATTACTTTTTGATTTTAATTCCACTTAGGTTCTTGCAATGCTTTTTTACATTATCTTACATACGTTAGGGCTTTATATTTTTATTTTGTGTTCAATTTTTGTTTGCCATTAAATTGTTTTTATCATGTCTCTGTGTTTTACTGCCTTACAACTAATATTTCTTAACTATCCACATATATTTGTACAATGTTCTGTTGCATATTTATACATAGCTTAGGGTCATCAATTAACTGGATTTGCTGGATTACTGGTTGAAAATTATTTTGCTTCAATCTAACGACACAGTCCCTGGCCATATCATCTGCTGCTGTTACCAAAAATGCTTTTAACAATTTAATCGTTCCTTAAGTTTACAACTTTTTCGTCATAGCGATGCCCTATACCCAATTAATTTTTATTTACTATCCCTGACCAAGTGTCAATTTGTCAATAGCAATTATTAATTTTGCCAATTTTAATCATGTCTTAAACATGTTTTGTATTTACCAATGTTTTTATATTGCGTTCTTTTTTCTAACTGTGCTTAACACAACTCAACATAAATTTTCTGAGTTTTATATCCCTCACTAGTAGGGGATCAACTAATTTAGCCTGTTTTCTATTCTTAGCTTTTCATAGTCGAATACCATCTTTTTTATAGATAAAATTTTGTTCACAAGCCACCACTGGTAGCACCGTTACATATTCGGCTTTTGTCCCGTTTGGTCTATTTTAAACTAATTTCGCTTCGACCACCGGCCCCACTCTTTATCTTTTGAGTTTTCATAGTATTTTTTTGTTTTAGTAGTCTGTTTAATTTTTAGCTTAGTATCACATATCAAAATTTTAAAAAAAATTCATACTGGCTCCGACCATCGGACCATTATTTAAATTTGCTTTCTTTTAGGTTCCTCTAATATCTGACGCTTATCTAACTAATTATGATACCAATCAATCAAATTAACGTTATTTATACTCGCTCCGACCTCCAGACTCACTTTCTATTTTCTTGTTTTTTACAGTTTTAACAAATATTGGTTGCCTGTACTCAATATATTTTGTTCCTAATCAACATAACCTATACTTTCCCCACTCGCTCCGACGGCCGGACCCATTTTCTAACGGTTAGTACTAACCATTTAAAATTTATTTGAATAAGAACAGCATTCAGAAAGGATTCTGCGAGTGAAACAGGAGAAGTTTATCAAAGAAATTTTTTTAAAAAAAAAGCTTTCTGGATATATATTTATTCTACAATTATTAAGTTTTGCATTTTTAATAACCATTGCGAAAGTTTCTTGTAAGTAACTATTTTTTGATGTATGAAAAAATATCAACTAAAAATGTTGCCATAGCTGTATGGCAAAGGTGTACCATAGCCTATGGAAAAATATTTCGTCATAAGCTGTAACACATCTTAGTTATATGGCAAAAATTTGCCATATAGAAAAATGCCGTAGGATATTCCTATGGGGTTTTGCCTATGGCAAAATTTTGACATACATGTATGGCAAAAATTTGCCATAGGATATTCCTATGGGGTTTTGCCTATGGTAAAATTTTGACATACACTTTTGCCACAGGCAAAACCCCATAGGAATATCCTATGGCATTTTTTATGGCAAACCTATGGCAAATTTTCCTAAGGGAAAGTGCTCGACTTCGCGCGCAGGTTTTCAGGCTACCGAAGCGGGGGTGCCTTTCCCTCCGCAGAGGATCAAAATTGTGATGGCATGTCTTCGGATCATCCTCCGGCATGTTTCCCAGACCATCGCCAATAGCCCATTGTGCAGCTCTTGTTCGACGTAAATTAACAACAGCAACTGCTAGCGATTTCAGTCCCACTTGTTTTAAGAATGGGATTGAGTTTAATTTTCGTCGCTGTTGCAGACCCGTGAGCCAATCAGATTTGTTTTAACTCGCTACCCACAACTCCCAGTAAAGAGAATATCCTGAATTCTACTTCCATCTTTATCTATGGTTGTTTATGCTTGTGATTGGTTGTTGTAAAATTTCTTTAAAAAGAAACATGACAGAATATATTATCAATTTCTGCTGACCACGCCCTGGTCGGCAGAAGAAATTAGAACAGAAATGTGTGTTTTTTTTTTAAAGCGATCAAAATTTTATTTAGAGCAAATTATAATAAATTCAAACTCTATATACGTTTGTTCACTTTCATACAAAATTGAGCAAATATTTTTAGACATCGAATTAGATTAAAATATTATTCAGGATCCGAGCAGATCAGCTGCATTGCTTCTCTGAGGTGTTCTTAGCCCAGTGGGCTGCCACAAGTACACCTGAAAGATATTCCAAAATGTGATCCCAACAAATTCAGAAGAGTGATAAAAGGCATGAGGAAGATAAAAACTTATCATAGAAAAGGGGATCAAAGTGACCTTATAAGAAAAAAATTATTGAGATCCGGCGAACACGAAGGATATGCTATGAGTCTTCGTCTCCTTAGATTCAGATCCTCCATACTTTTTTCACTAAGTTCAAACACATCGTGGTTTGAGATTCCATTTTCTATATTAAAGTTTTATTCTCTTGGTGATGCTCATTATTGCCTCTCTTAATTTGTCGTTTAAATTTTGGAACACGCTGAATATTTTGTTAGAAAGAACTCCCCTCGCCACAAAGTCTAGGGTTGTCTGCTGGTGTGGAAACAATAAATAAGGCATTTCAAATGGGGGAGTTCCACTATCCTTTGATTCCCTTTCTTTAGTCGATCCGTGCCAAATCCTGTCTTAAATATTGATCCAACATCACTACTTGAAATAGTTAAACCTCTTTACAGTAGTCACTGCGACAGCTCCAGATGAATGGCGAGGGGAGTTCGTACCACAGACAGACTATACATAACCGCTCTTGTACACATTGTCAAAAAAAGAAAATAAAGCACTTTATACGTTGAAAATTAACATTGGGTGATAAAATAACAAACACGTTATCAATTTCTGATAAATCACTATTGGCTATTGAATTAGGCTACAGGTGGCGTAGAGCAGAGCTTTCTACAGGGCCGTAACTACGCCGGGCACCGCCCCGGGGCCCCGACGGTCAAGGGGGCCCCATATGAAGAGACTTTTTTTCTTCAAAATAAAGCACTCTAATTATGTATATGTAGGAAAGAAATTGTGTTAAGATAGAGTTGATGAAAATTGTCTTTTTTGTAATTGCGTACCCACTATAACATAAAGGGAAGGGTAAAAAACGGTAAAACACCTTTTCACAAAATATTTCCCTTTCTTAAAAGAACAAACACGCTTTGCAGAGAAGGGGAAAGGCCACAGCTGCATGTAGTTGATTGCGTCACACCCAGTGGCGTGCCAACCAGGGGGAGGCAGAGAGCCCCTCTAAAATTTAGATGACGGGGCAAACGATGCGTTTCGCCCCTCCTGAAATTTAGACACTCACAAAAATAAAGTCAAGTAAAATCAGTAATTTAAAAAGAAAAAAAATTTTCAATTTTGAAGCTATTTTTGAAATAGAAAACTTTATATTCCTCTAACATTTATGTGCCTTGCCTCTTCTGATATTTAGTTATTCGCCAAGACGAAGTCTAGTAAAGTAGGTAATTTTAGAGGGAAAAAAAAGCTATTCTTTTTCAGCTTTGA